GGGATGGGGTTGTGGGGGTGCAGGGCAGAAGGCTGGGTATGTATTGGGGTGGGGGGGGTTCAGGGCAGAGGGCTGAGTGTGTGTGGGGGGGTCAAGGCAGAAGGCTGGGGTGCTCGGCTCGTGGGGGTGCTCCCACCCCCTGCCCGGCTCATGGCAGGGGGCTGGAAGGGATGTGCCCTGTTCCATCCCCTTCCCCCAGGCTCCGTATTTAGCAATATTTAGCAGTATGTCCAACAATCACAGTGCATGTCTTCACCCTTTTGCAATTCTCCACTAAAAATGTTATGCTTATAAGAAGCATACAGGATCTTTTTCAGGGGAAAAGTCAATATGCTGCATTTATTGAAGATACAACACACCGTATCAGTCACACCACACACAAACACACTATTCCGCCAGTCGATGTTATAGTTGCCACTCCAGAGTCCGGATCCATCTAGCGGCCAGCAAGGTTGATCACAGGTAGGGAGGAGGCGGGTTCCGTTGGTCATGACACAATGCTCCGGGCAAGTCTTGGCAGGTCAAACCCAGAGTTTCATGGCAAGGCACCTTGTTTATATACTGATTTTCCTTAATTGAGACCAATGAGTTTTGCACGGTCATACTGTAATCAATTGTTGTTTGACAAGTGCTTATTTTCTTAAATTGTCCTTCTCATCCTTTATCTTGTTCTTTCATCAAGTCCCTCAGGGAGTTATCCCATCCTGGTTTTGATCATAGCTATATTGTCCCCATTGATAGGTGTCTGTCTCATCTTTAGAGTCATCAATCTGCCCTCCTCTGACATTTCACTAGGGGCGTGTTGCAGCCTTATGGCGCCCTTGCGTCTGTCTCCAGTTCTTCCCTTGTACATCTGGTTCAGCAATGGCCTTCACACTTATTTCTTAAAACACACATTTCTCATTCACACACAATACAGAATTAATTTACACACAACATTTTGAACAGAAACATCAAATTGCAATGAAAAAGAAAACAATCATGGCATTCTTTTACTTATTTTACAATGCTAAACCTACAACAAATTGGTGACCCTCGAAGGTCTGTTACTGCCTTGAAATCAGTCCAGACACAGATTCTGGCTGATGTATCTCTACCCGTTGTCCCATTAGGCCATTCCTTTCTGTTATTCAAAAAGGGTGGCTGGCAGGATATGATCAGATCATACACCAATACATTTAATACATGCTACATTCTTATTCTTTATCCTTCATTCTAAATCAGATAAAACATAAACACAAAATCCTACTACTACATTTGGGGGAAGAGTTTGGGGGAGTTCAGTTCCTGATTTTTATTTGACCTCTCTCCAGAACTTGTAATGGTTTGGCCTTCCCCTTTCCATCCCTGTTTGAGGTTTCTCTCTCTCTATCACAGCAGGTGATGCAATGATATGTGAGAAAGAGGAGCAGAATTCTCAGCAGGAAAATGTTGAGCAAGTGGATAAACACAGAGCATTATTGCAAAGATTGGAAGAGAATGTGTCCAGGAGTCATGAGCAGGGACAATCCTGTGAGATTCAGCGCAGACCAGAAAGAGAGCAGGGAAACCAGCCAGGGGAGAAAGTGGGTAAATGTATTTCCTGTCGAGGAACTCGGAAAGACCTCAAGGAAACCACAACCCAGCAGGAAATCCTCATGGGAAAGAGAAAAAATCCATGCACTGAGTGTGGAAAAAACGTATGTGACTACTCAGCCCTTATAAAGCATCAGAGAATCCACCCAGGAGAGAGGCCATATGAATGCAGTGAGTGTGGGAAAAACTTTACTCGCAGATCACACCTTATTACCCATCAGAGAATCCACACAGGGGAAAGGCCCTATAAATGCAGTGAGTGTGGGAAAAGCTTCACTACCAGCTCAGCCCTTTCTGAACATCAGAGAATCCACACAGGGGAGAGACCCTATGAATGCAGTGTGTGTGGGAAAACCTTCACTCGCAGCTCGCACCTTACTAGGCATCAGACAATCCACACAGGGGAGAGCCCCTATGAATGCCGTGAGTGTGGGAAAAGCTTCAGTACCAGCTCAGCCCTTTCTGAACATCAGCGAATCCACACAGGGGAGAGGGCCTATGAATGCAGTGAGTGTGGGAAAAACTTTACTCACAGATCAGGCCTTTTTCTACATCAAAGCATCCACACAGGGGAGAGGCCCTATGAATGCTGTGAGTGTGGGCAAACCTTCAGTCGCAGTTCACACCTTAGTACGCATCAGAGAATCCACACAGGAGAGAGGCCCTATGAATGCCGTGAGTGTGGGAAAAGATTCACTACCAGCTCAGCCCTTTCTGAACATCTGAGAATCCACACAGGGGAGAGGCCCTATGAATGCCATGAGTGCGGGAAAAGCTTCACTGTCAGCTCATCCCTTTCTGAACATCAGAGAATCCACACAGGGGAGAAGCCCTATGAATGCAGTGAGTGTGGGAAAACCTTCAGTCGCAGCTCGTACCTTTTTCAACATCAGAGAATCCACACTGGTGAGAGGCCCTATAAATGCACTGAGTGTGGGAAAAAATTCACTACCAGCTCAGCTCTTTCTGATCATCAGAAAATCCACACCAGTGTGAGACCCTATAAATGTACTGAGTGTGGGAAAACCTTCAATCACAGATCAACCCTTATTAGACATCAGAGAATCCACACAGGGGAAAGGCCCTATGAATGCAGTGAGTGTGGGAAAACCTTCATAAACAGTTCGAACCTTATTAGGCATCAGAGAATCCACACAGGAGAGAGGCCCTATCAATGCAGTGAGTGTGGGAAACACTTCACTACCAACTCAGCCCTTTTTCAACATCAAAGAAACCACACAGGCGAGAGGACCTATAAATGCAGTGAGTGTGGGGAAAGCTTCACTACCAGCTCAGCCCTTTCTGAACATCAGAGAATCCACACAGGGGAGAGGCCCTATGAATGCAGCGAGCATGAGAATACCTTCTCTTGGCACTCAGCCCATGTTAGGCATCAGAGAATCTGCAAGGGAGATCAACACCATAAAAACCTCTAGGGCTATCTATACTTTTTTCTTTAATACTTTTCCTGATTCCCACATACTAACTTTTAAAGCTGTTTGAACTGTTTGCTGCACAGTTATCCCTCAGCTTGTCCAGATGAGTGGTGCATTTTTGCCTTTTGCCATTCACCCTCTTTTGAAGTTGACCTATTTGTCCTTTCTGTCAACTCCATTGTCCCGTGACTATTTCAAGTGTGCCCTTCCTATCCGGAACAAGGGAGCATCACATTTATACCATTCCTTCTATTGCAAAGTTATTGTTAGTCACCAATGATACAGATTGTATCATTTCCAGTTGTTCTCACATTGCTCTGGGTTGTGCTGAAGAGCAGTTATATTGGGAACTTTTCAAATTATATTTAAATGAAGAGGAGCGGGGCAGGGGGAAAAGGGGTCATTTTGGCCTCTGTGACACTGGAAGGGGATGGGATGACTCAGAGATTACCTCCTTCCCCATCACTGCAGAACTGATACCTTTTGTCTGAGCCATACACCGTTTATCTTCATTACATTCTACCCCTCCACTTCTCAAAGTGTCATGTGAGGAACAGTTTTCAGCTGTTTGTGCTTGGAGATGTTGTTTTGACTTCTTTAATCCTAAATCAGAGTCATTGTGACTGCAGATGAAAGTGTGAAAGACCTGGAAAGGGAATTCAAATGGATCCCAAACACAGTGTGATCATTTGGAGTTAAAATCGCAGGTTCTATCTGTTGGTAAAGCCACTTCTGGCAAGGTGGCTGTCACCTCACTCCCCACCCCCATTATTTGGATGCTAGGATAGTATAAATGTTGCAAATAACATAACTGATTATTGAGACAGTGCTGAGTGAAGTATGTTTGAATGAATCAGAGGAGAATGTGATGGGAGAATCTCTTGTCCCAATTCTGAATAATCAGATGTAACCTGCTCTGGAATTTGACTTGACACTTTCATTGTCATGTATTCTATCTCTCTGTGTTGTGGATTTCTATCTTTCCTGAAGGCTGTTTCGTCACCCAATTGGATATTAGTTCTGTTTGATAGAATGTAGCTCAGATTTATTGGAGAATTTAAGAGAAATGACCATTTACTAAACTCATCATTTCTCACTTCAGCTTTGCTTTTCCTCCATCCCTCCATGATGACATGGGGAAAGTTCAAGTGCAGTTCTGTCAACGGAGAGAACTCTCCAATTTACTGGACATGCTAACAAAGAAACAGCAGTGATTTAAAATCTCCACTCGGAAATGGTGAACAACAGCAGAACCCCAGCTAATTGGAGGAAGTGCATATGATCACAGAGTAGTTCAATTGTTGAAGTCAATATTGTCTCAGATTATCCAGGGAGAGAATTCCACATTAGGTGATTTTGAAGTGGGCAAAATGCACATGTATTTGGTTCCTAAAGCATGTGTAACCCATGCCCTAGAGAAGACTTTTCCTAGTTAACCCTATATTATGGGAGATGCTGCCCTTCACGACACAGATGTTGAGGAAATAGAAGTGCGGGTTTAGTTGAATTTATCCTGTGTAGGTGCTAAAAATGTGCATAAAATGAAATCAGTGTTGTAAGTCTAATAGTTGCAGAAAAATAGCTATTTTCACACCCCTGAGCCAATGTAGTTATACCAATAAATGTCTTTAGTGTAGACCAGACCAGTTTTCTCTTGTTTTATGCATTTACATCACTTCTCCTCTACCTCCTCCTACTTTGAAAGATTAAAAAGTGTGCACATAGAAGAGGGGTGTTTTTCCTCCTTATGCAAACATTACCATATAGGAGAACCCTTCCACCAACACACATGGCAGATGATCCTGAGATATATGAACTCACAGAAGTGGTTGGGACCTACATTGGGCCAAACCACAACTTGAGCCAAGTTTCAGTTGTTGGCAATGGGGATTAAAAGAAAGCTAACATATCTGATGAGAATTGGTGATCTTTAAATATGTTAGTGTTACCAGTGAAAATGAAATTATAGGTGAAATCATTGTGTGGTGATCTGAATTATTTTGAAAAACTGAAAGGTTTGTTTTTTGTTAGGTCATCTCCCGTATGACTAACCAGTCTCCCTGTATGTGAGAGAGCTCCTAGTCTGGAGGGCTGAGCCAGCTGTCAGATCACCTGGTTCCTCAACTGTAGATACAGCTCTCAGTACCCATCAGTCCAAAGACTGAGAGAAATGGAGAGTTCCAACCATTGTCATTTTAGTATCTTATTATTTGTTTCTCTGATTTTTGTTTTTAATAGCTAGGAGAGGTGCTGGCCTTTCTATTATATCAGGGTGTGACTGTATAGCTCAGTGCATGTGTGACAAAAGCTTTTTCGTGCCAGTTGGCAAAGGGGTCACTGTTATTCACAAGCAACTCCTGTCTCAGATCTTTCAAACTTGCCACACCAAATACACTGATTTTATTATATTTATTCAAGAGCCATAGCAGCGAGACCTCTACTGAAAAAACCTTGTAAATTATTGATACTCCTAATCACTGTGAGAGGTGTGTATGAGTCATATTGAAGGAATAATGTAAGTATATGGAAAAATATGCCCAAATGATATTGTAATGAAAGTGAGTCACCCCAATCATTGGTCTTGGTGGGGACGGCCCATTCATGTGGGAGGAAATTGTCACCCGTCCCTTGCTAGCTAGTTATGTGATGTATTGCTCAATTGTCAACATTTGCACCAACCCAGGAAAGCCAATGGAAAACTATCAAAGACAAACTAGCAACATCAAAATCCTGTGGAAGTGAAAAGGACAATAGGACAATGAGTAGATTTTCCTTTCTGTGAATAAAGGCAAAAGACTGATTCCGTTTATAACAGGGTGGAGAAAAACACTCTGGGTCCATTCACCAAGGAGATCCCTAACGACCAGTGGTGCTTCATGAAAGGCAGGGCCCTGGCTCCCAGGGCCTAGCAACCGCTGCAGTAGACTGAAGTGTGAGGTGAGAATCTACGTAGATAGGAAAGGTAACCACTAAAAAGTGTAGGTTGCGTTTTGTGATTTTGTTCTGTTTCAATCTCTATCCCTTGTTAAACATCCATTTGTTCGATAAGTGTACTGAAGTGCTGTGTGTGATACATGAGCAGTGGTCTACAGTAAAACTGGTAACCTGGCATATACCATTGCTTCGGGAAAAGAGGATCTGGGATTTCTCTGAGTATCTGGTGATCGGGGCTGGACCCGGGGTGGGGGGGGGGGTGGTCACATTGAAGGAACTCAGGGCTTAGGGTGTCTCTATTGTCAACTGGCAGGGCTGCTGTAGCTCAGAGGAGGGTGCTTGAGTGCCTGACAGGCTGGGTGAGTTTGGTCGCTAACATCCAGCTGCCAAATGCAAAAGTCCCTCTTCCTAGTGGCAGGTGGCAATGAGGAGACTCACAGCCCTCAACACCCTGAGAAGGGTCACAATGTGCATCTATGTTGACCCACCTATGAAATCCACACGGGGAAAGCACCCTATAGCATAGTTCCCTGACTCAAAATAGCCCTAAAACTGCCCTACAAAATCATGGAACGTGTGCTCTTTGCTCTGTGAAAGCATGTAAAGAATCCAAGTGCTGGAGGGTAGAGATTGGGTCCAGAGATTGGTGGATTGAGCCAAAAGAAATCTGGAGAGATTCAACAAGGACAAGTGCAGCATCCTGCACTTAGGATGGAAGAATCCTATGACCTGCTACAGGCTGAGGACTGACTGGGTAAGGGTTAGGGTCCTGAGCTCCAGCCCCCTGATCATTTTTGTTGCCCTCTGCTGGAGTCTTTCCAATTTTTCCACATCCTCCTTGTAGTGTGGGGCCCAAAACTGGACACAGTACTCCAGATGAGACCTCACCAATGTTGAATAGAGGGGAATAATCACATCCCTCAATCTGCTGGCCTTGCCCCTACTTATACAGTCCAAAATGCCATTAGCCTTCTTGGCAACAAGGGCACACTGTTGACTCATATCCAGCTTCTCATCCACTGTAACCCCTAGGTCCTTTTCTGCAGAACTGCTGCCTAGCCATTCAGTCCCTAGTCTGTAGCAGTGCATGGGATTCTTCCATTCTAAGTGCAGGACTCTGCACTTGTCCTTGTTGAGCCTCATCAGATTTCTCCTTGCCACTTCTGCTAGCATGGGCACGCATCTTGGAGGCCTTTCTAGAAGAGAATTTGGAACTGAGTTGAGAAAACCAGTTTCAAAACAGGAAGCTCAGGTTTAGTTTCATTTATTTATAATATTAAATAATTCTTTCATCCTAGTATCACAATTATAAGTGCTTCAGCGTTACGGTTTTCCAGAGGGAAAACTTAACTTCTCTCCAAAGGGGGTTGAGAGAAAACACTTTTCCGAGTCCAAAAAAGACAAGATGGGTAAGAGCTTGTAGAGGACCAACCTCTGTTGGTGAAAGAGACAAGCTTTGGAGCTAACCCAGAACTCTTCTTCAGCTCTGTGTAGCCCCAAAGTTTGTCTCTTCCACAAACAGAAGTTAGAACATAAGAATGGCCATACTAGGTCACAGCAAGGGTCCATGTATCCCACTATCCTGTCTTCTGAAAGTGCCTAATGCCAGGTGCTCCAAAGAGAATGAACAGAACAAGTAATCAAGTGATCCATCCCCTGTCCCCCATTCCCAGCTTCTGGCACAGAGAGGATAGGGACACCATCCCTGCCCATGCTGGATAATAGCCATTGGTGGACCTATCCTCCATGAACTTATCTAGTCCAGTTTTAAACCCTCTTCTAGTCTTGGCCTTCACAACTCCCTCTGGCAAATACTTCCCCAGGTTAACTGTGCATTGTGTGAAGAAATATTTCCTTTTTTTTTCATTTCAAACCTGCAGCCTATTCATTTCATTTGGTGACCCTCCTAGTTCTTGTGTTATGAGAAGGAGTAAATAACACTCCCTTCCTTGGTCCTTTAAAATATATTATGTGACCCCCTCCTCCTTGTCTCTCATGTCCTGGGACCAACATGGATGCAACAACACTGCAAACAACAAGGTTCAAAGTCGATGCACATGGAAGAAGTATTTTGCATTTCATTCCTTATGTCCTGGTCCCATCCTGTGGCCATTTCCTTTCCCTCCTCTCTGTTACAAGCTTTTGTGTTTTGCAGAAACATTATTTCCACAGGAGACACCCAGGAGTAGGGGTGCATTCCTGTACCAAACAGTAACTAGAAGGGGGTAGACAAAGGCCTTTAGGACAAGGTATCCATCACAGTCAAAAAATCATCTCCGTCCTGGAGGTCACTGGCAGCTTGAATTTGTTCCTTAGCCTCCCAGAGTCTGGGGGCTGGACTCAGCACCATCCAGCCCCTCCGTTTGTACCAGGAGCAAACACAAACCTTGTCTTTAAAACAAGCTGTGCCATCCGTCTCAGGGAAGAATGATTGAAATTGAGCTTCAGTTCCTCTCTCCTAGTAATGGGTGGGATGTGGGGTATTGGTGGTATAGTGGTGAGCATAGCTGCCTTCTAAGTAGTTGACCTGAGTTCAATTTATAGCTAAAGTAATAATAGCTTTTGTCTTTTGTTGGTTCATTGTCTGGAAGTGATTTAGTTTGTCATATTGTGTTATAATCATAGTATCAATAGAATAAGACAATAAATGTTTCAAGCCCAGCAGGTCATACAGGATTGAGACATACAAGGGGCTGGAATGTGTCATCTGAGAAAGACAGAACGCTTGGAAACCTGCATCTCCCATCCCTTTTCCTTCAGTGTTATGATTCCTGCTGTGTGCAATGTTTATCTGATGTTCCTGCATGATGGTGAGATAAAGTTTTGGGTCAGTTTTTGCTCCTGCAGCTTCCTTTGCTGTTAAAATTATAATGACAGGAATAAAACGGAGGCAAAATAAAAATAAACGCAAAATTGCAATACGATTAAGGAAAGAGAAGATCATGGTTAAGCCAAACACTTCAAAATAAAAATACTAAAAATTACCCCACTCCCCCACTAAAGGAGGTGGGGTACAGCTCTGACTGAGAGGCCCCACAGGAAAAATTTCAGCCCAAAGACAAATTTGTGTGAAATGTTGAGACGTGAAGAGCCCCCTTCCCCCCCCCCCAAATCCCCAGAACTCTAGAGTCACCCCCATGGCACCAGCACAGGAAACCCAGTGGGATGGGATTATAGAATACAAGGGGGGAGGCAGCAGGGGAGAGAGGTGTCAGGGAGTCTCTCTTTTTCCTTCTCTTCTCTTTCTGTTCTTCTCTTCCGGGAACTGCAGTCACAGCAGGGAGGGGTTTGTCTCATTGTAAGGGGTCCGTGTCTGTCACAGAGGTTGTGGCAGTGATGGATTCTGTGACTTCCTGCGACCTCTGTGACTTCTATAGTGGCCACTGTGGCTGACTCCAGGGCTGCCCAAGCTCCTGGCTCCGGGGACTGCCCAAGCAGCGGCCAATGCAGCTGGCCCTGGGGACCGCTTGACCAGTTGTTCCAAGGGCAGTGGGAGCAGCCGCAGCTCATTGGCCCCCAGCAGCTGTCCCGGGGTGGCCGGAGGAGCGGCTGGCCCCCTGGGGCTCCCCCCAGCAGCAGCTGGAGTGGCAGCGGGCCACCAGGGCTTCTCCCCTGGTAGCTGGTACTCATTATTGATCAAATAAATCAAAACGCTTCCCCCTGCCAGTGGATTTAGCCCAGGACCCTCAGAGTCAGCAGCTTGTTAC